TTTATTTAAACTCAAAGATCATTTACAGTGATGTTGAGCAACATTTTGAAACCTTTAAAAATGACAGAATATATACAAGATATTTAAAAATATATATAAAATATAATATAATAATATAAATAAAGACAAATTCATTGATTAAAACGCCCCTAAAAGATACAAGATAAAGGAAAACAAGTTATTAAAATAACTATAAAAACAGTTCATACAAGATAAAACAATTCAAGTAAAACAAGAGCAAAGAGAGGTTGAATAATTTATCGATTTAAATCAGTATTCATCCCTAGGGTTTGTTCTGTTTCTATACTATATAAAAAAAACTTTTTACTGTTTTGATACAGAACTTTTTCTACCAATATTATTTGCTCTAGAGAACAACATAAACTTAGTTTTCGGTGTAATAAGTAAAAGTTTAGGAGCCGTTTAAACAACGTTATTAAATATCTGAGTGCATCTTCCACCACCGGTAAGAGCTGCCCTATCATTACGTGCTGGTGGTCCGTCAGTAGTATTTACATCACAATCCACAACAGAGGGAAGTGAAACACGAGTGACATGGTGGCATAAACCCATGGCGCCGACTGAGGAAGTATTCAGATTAGTTGCAATATAAAAATACTGCATTATAAGTGCATGTCTCACTTAAATAAGAGTGTGCAAGTATTATTAGCAAACTGAAAGGTAGTACTAATATACATATATAATATATATATATATGATTATTATACAATATATAGTATGATCAGCATTGCTGTAAGTAGCATTTTATGGTCGTAGTTGGTCAAAATTGAGCTAATTTGAACTATTTTTGGACAGTTCCATCTATACCAGTGCATCATACTTTAAGATGTTCATACATTCTGTATATAAAATCTTAATCTGTAAAAGTAAAGCTGTCGAAAAACACGTAAAAAGTGCAACATTTTCATCTGAATTTGGTGGAAATACGTCATTCAGGTTATGACTGATGAGTGAATGTGTTTATGAGGACTTTTATGAGAAAGTTCAATTTACAGTAAAAGAGAAATGAGGAGTTGGCATTTAGTTTCATTTTCAATACCAGTAACTACCTGTTTTTTGTTTTTTTTAGCTAACTGAAAACCCATATACTGTACTGTATCACCACAAATCAAACCCAGAATAGGAAGGGAAACCAAACCATAACAGACTGTCACTGCGACTGTGAATACATTGCAGAAGAAAAACTATTATAATTGTATGAATTGCTATTATTAGGGTGCACCCTCTGGATTTCATTAGCTTAGATGAAAATTTAATGATCCCTGTGGGGAAACCGGGCTGCGGCAGCAAAGAGAGGGGCTCAGTGGCGGTTTAGGTTATGGATAAACACAGAGCAAATAAAAGGGGACAAAATATAACACAAATCATAATCACAAGTAAAAGCACATGTGGAGATAAAAGATTGTATTTGAATACTGTATGAATATAAACATTTAGACATAAATAGTACAAATGTGAATGTTTGTTGTTAGGATTTCCTTATTATTATGTCCTACGTAGACTAATTATATGACCTTAATAACCTCTGGTCTTTCATAATCCTCAAAGATTTTTACATTTTTCAAT